GTTATGCGTTCATTGAACAAAATCAGCTTAACTATATAAAGGCTAATCAAGAAAAAATAAGAGTAGAATTATATGATGGATTACAAAATGTACTTACAACTAATGATGAGGCACTACAAGATTCTTCACATATTAGAAAAAAAATTATTCTTCTGTCTAGCTTCGTTGGTAGACCACGTCATATGCACCAACTTTACCAGAACACTATGACCATCATTAGGCAAGCAGAAAAGCCGATTTGTTCATTACAATGACATGCAATCTGAAATAGATAGAACTTCAAACTGCTTTATTACCTGGACAGAGTGCATATGATCATCCTGACCTTTGTGCACGTGTTTTTAATATGAAGCTGAATGCTTTGCTTGATGATATATTAAAGAAAGAGATCTTCAGTAAAACAACAGCATATATTTACGTTATTGAAGCACAAAAGTATGGTCTTTTGCATACACATATGTTAAAAATGCTTGCAGATGAAGACAAACCATATACTACAGATGACTTTGACCTTATTGTATTGGCAGAGATATCTAACTCAGATAAGTATTCAAATGAATATGTGACTGTGGTTAAATATATGATGCATAGACCCTGTGGTGTAACAAATATAAAGGCACTATATATGCAAAACGGTAAATGTTCAAAAGGATATCCTAAACTATTTCAATCTGTTTTCTGTGAAAATGAAGATAGGTATCCTATTTATTACTAACGTACTGATGGTCACACTGTAAAAGTTAAAGGTATTCAACTTAACAACCATTGGATTGTACCACACAATTTATACCTTTGTAAAAAGTATAATTGTCATATTAATATTGAGATTTGCTTTTCTATTCAGGCTGTAAAATATCTGTTCAAATATGTTTACAAAGATCATGATTGTGTGACTGTAGTAATTAGCAACAACAATGCATATACTAGCTTAATTAGCAACAACAATGCAGATACTAGCTCAAACTAACCTGAAATAGTAGATGAAATTTGACAATACATTGATGCTTGCTACGTATCAGTATCAGAGTCGTTCTAGTGTATTATGTACTGCAAAATGCATAATAAGACACCTGACGTAATTCAGTTAAGTGTTCACTTACCTAATCAATATTTAGTACTGTTTTCTGCTAACCAACCCCTGAATATAATTATACAAAACTCAAACAATTAGAAAACAACCCTGACAGCATGGTTTCAAGCCAATAGAGACTCTTCTTTGTCAGATTTGGCCAAAAAGTTTACATATACACAATTTCTACGCAGGTTCATTTTTTATAAGCAATCAAAAAAGTAAAAATTGCGTAAACATGGAAATGCTATCGGGCGTCTTTATTTTGTGCATCTGGGTGCGGGTGAGCATTATTATCTGCATATGCTTCTTAATGTAGTTCGTGGAGCAGAATTGTTCAAACATCTAC